CTGCATGTATATGAAGAGGGGCATGGTACACCTGTTCGCACCGCAGGCATTCAAGTCCATCGCCCATTGCGTTTGCTTGACCCCCCACCGCCAGCGTGTGATCTCGCGCATTCAGTTCTGCGGTTGTATCTTGTTACTCCTGCTCTGCCTCGAAGTTTGGTTTAATATCATCTTCAGCACAATGGCAGCCACTACCAACGTCAAGGCGTCTCTGGAAATTACCAAGGGTGCTACTGCTACCGACCCAATTCCAATCGACACCAGCTCTACAGGTTCTATCAACGATGAGCACACCAACCTTTTGGGTCCTTTCCCTACTGAGGAGGAGTGGGCCACTCTTCCCAGGGTTGCTGGTCGCATTCCATGGCAAGCATGGACTGTAGCTGCTGTTGAATTCGTCGAGCGCTTCAGTTACTACGGTACCAGTGCCGTCTTCGTTAGTGAGTGGAATTTGGAACAACATTCTTTGGCATGTATTGACTGTCATCAGACTTCATCCAGAAGCCACTTCCCCCTGGCTCCAAGACGGGTGCTGGATTTCTCAAGAAGCCCGGTAGCGGTGCCCTAGACATGGGACAACGTGCTTCGACCGGTCTTACAATGTTCAACCAATTCTGGTCCTACATCACACCTCTCGGCGGTGCCTGGCTAGCTGACGAGTACTGGGGACGTTACAACACCATCCAGTACTCGAATTTTATCGCTCTCATTGGCCATATCATTTTGATTATGTCTGCCATCCCCGCCGTCATTGTCAAGCCCAACGTCTCCATCGGTATCTTCGCTGTCGGTCTTGTCATCATGGGTATCGGAACTGGTGGTTTCAAGAGTAACATCTCGCCGCTCATTGCCGAACAGTACAAAGACCAGAAAGCCTACGTCCGCGTAAAGAAGAACGGAAGCAAGGAAATTGTCGATCCCGCTACCACCACTGCGCGTATATACATCTACTTCTACTTCTTGATCAACTGTGGTTCTATCTGTGGTTCTCTTGCCATGGTTTACTCAGAGGTAATTGCCCTGTCAAGGCATGTTGAGCAACTATGCTAACGTCATTCAGCACTTCGTTGGTTTCTGGCTTTCGTACACACTGCCAACTATCTGCTACCTACTATGTCCGATCATCCTCATCACCATGAAGAAACACTACAAGCTCTCGCCACCCACTGGATCTGTTATGGGCAAGGCTTTCAAGCTAATTGGTCTCGGCATCAAAAAGTCACCCCGCAAGAACACATTCAAGGATGATGGTTTCTGGGACAGGATCAAGCCTAGTGCCCTTCGCGCTAGTGGTGAGAGCGTCCCTGACTGGATGACCTTTGATGATGCCTGGGTCGACGAAGTCAAGCGTGGTATCCTGGCCTGCAAGGTTTTCCTTTGGTACCCTCTGTATTGGCTCGCGTACAATCAGGTATGAGATTTAAAAAGTTCAGCAAGTATCTTGAGCTAACGATTGTAGATGACCAACAATCTTGTGTCTCAAGCCAACACCATGAACCTCGGAAAGACACCGAACGATATCGTCTCGAAGTTGAACCCCATCTTCATCGTTATCCTCATCCCAATCATGGACTTCCTTATTTACCCTGGTCTGCGCAAGGCTGGTGTCAACCTCTCGCCCATCAAGAAGATCACTGCTGGATTTGCACTTTCTTCGTTCGCCATGGTGTCTGCCTGTGTCATTCAGTACTTCATCTATAAGATGTCGGCATGTGGTGATAACATTAATGCCCTTAGCAAGACCCGCGACGACTGCAGCGCCGACATCTCCGTCTGGGTCCAAGTCTTCCCCTACGGTCTGATCGGCATGTCTGAAATTTTGGCATCTATCACCAAGCTTGAGTACGCGTACACTAAGGCACCCAACAACATGAAGTCTACCATCCAGGCTGTCGCTCTCTCCACCTCCGCTGTCTCCGCTGCTCTTGGTCAGGCCTTTGTCAGTCTGTCCGAGGACCCACTGTTGGTATGGAACTATGGTTCTGTCGCTGTTATCGCCATGTTCGGTGGCATCGGTTTCTACATGACCTTCCGCAAGGCCGACGCTCAAGAAGATGCTATGAACAACATGAAGGAGAGCAAATACATTGGCGGTCGTGAGGTTGGTGACGCTGAAAACGTCGAGACTCTTAGCGTGAGGGACGTCAAGAACGAGAAGAGTGGCTTGTAAGCGAGATCACTGGGTTGGCAATGGGTACATGATAGTAATGATTTGAATGGAATTCATATATGAGCAGTTCTACTTTTCCAAATCTCTCGGTGTAATCAACCCATCCTTTGCCGCCTGTCTGAGCCATCTCAAGCCATATCAGGAACGATACAAATAGTGAGTATACCGCGATCTGGTTCTCAGGAGGTCTGCTTGAGGTCAACAAGGCTCTACTTTCAGACATCAGATAGGCAAGCATAATACAGCCAGGAGGTCGTGGAGCTTTTCGAAGCTCTCCAACGTGGTCTAATGGTAGGGGCAGGAGGTATACAACTTACTCAGATAGCCACTCCACCTCCACTAGCACCTCGACCTCGACCACCTCCAAAACGGCGCCTGTCTCCAATACTACCCCAAGGATTCCCACTTGGAGAAGAACCAGGTACCGGTGCCTTGCCTTTCTGCCCAGGCGCCTTAGGGACACTGTCGTCTGGAGGGGGACCAAAAGACGGGAAACTGATGTGTGGGAGCTGATCTGGAGTCGCACCAGCAGACCTAGCAGAGTTGACTGCTGTCTCATGAGAACGCATGGCTTGGATCGCTGGCGCCGTCGGAGGTAGCATGAGACCACCGTACTGCTGGTAGTGGCGGTACAGGAGTATATCGACAAGTGACCGGTTTTGACGAATCCAGTCCATGGAAGCGTGACCGAGTTCTGGATTGGCGATGCGGAGGATGAGTTCGTGGATCAAGGCAGGGTTTCGGTCGAAGTCATCCTGATTGTAAGTTAGTACCTTCTTGGAGCAATGGTTGAAGAGGATATGAATGCGGACTTACGATGGTCTCGCTGAGGAATATGGCGTTATTCATGTCCGGGTCGTAATTGTAATTGGGACGAGCTTGTCCTGAGTTATCTCGGACTGTGTACGCCCAGCGCATGAATGGAGTTACAGACTCGCCGTTCCAGCGCTGGAGAGGGGTTGGTACGTCTTCTCGGAGATGGTGGACAGTTGGAGGGATTCGGTGACCAGGAAGAGGCGGCTGGCCGACATGAGGAGGGGACAAGGGCTCAATACCGGTACGAGAAGGGATTCGGCCATGGCGAGGAGTGTTGTAGGGGTTTTGGGACGAAGATTGCCCGTCGCGTCGAGAAGGTTGGCTGGCTTGCGAACCAGACATCCTGGCGGTTCACTGAAAGAAGAGTTTTGCAGGATATGCAAGGGAGATTTGAACCAGAAGGATAAATGCTATATATATATGATCTAGAGATGTTGTGAAGGTAGCTCTGGAATTTTCATTAATAAGAGGGTTAAGGAAGGAGGAAGTTCATTATATATCTTAGTAGCGGAGATCATATTGAGATGAGGGGCGTTTGCTTTCGAGCGTGACCTTGGATTTTTTGAGATAAGATGTGCGTGAGAGAATGTATCTGTGACGCTTTTGAGCAGGTTTGCGCTCACTTCTAGTCATGAGGAAGAAAACCTGCGTTTGCAATTATACATAAGTAGCTATGGTAGTGCGTGGAAAGAGGCAAGTCTTCAGGTTAGTGTCTTATAACAAGTTAGTTTCCAGATTGATTATAGTTCAAGTGAACCGACTAAGGGTTTTCGGCTTAATGGTGTGGGCAAGAAAGTGAAATGATAGCTAAGGCTGTTGAGACATGAATAGCGTTGATCATGAACACTGCCTATTACAAAGACCATCAATACTAAATCTACACTATGAGTACATCGATACATAACGCCTTAGGTGACTCTTCTGCTTACTTTCTTTACCCGGGATGGAGCTCGTTCTGTCTTGCCCTACGGGACGTTTGTGAAGAAGAAAACTTACCTTCTCCAACAAGTTGATTAGATTGCCACGGCTTGCTGATGAACGGTAGAGAACGTCGGTTCAAAGGTTCTTCCTGTGACACATGATTGTACCATGCACAAGGGCCCCTTTTCCAGAAAGAGTGTGCTGGGCTCGTGACATATCAGAGACGCCCACAAACAGATGAGTCCGCTACAGACTTCTAGCGTAAATAAATCTCCTTCGTATCCAAGTTATTTCGTCCGCTTTGCTCGGTTTGAAATCGTGACCCCGTATTGCGAGTTGTTAACGCATCAAATCCGCCGCAAGGGCTCAGCATCGGAGCGCGCGCGCAGGAATCGGTATTGGTGTAGCCGTGATTACCATACTACTTATGCTCGTTGCGCTCTTAGCCTGGAAGGTAGAAAAGAGAAGAAGACAGGAGCGCCGTGCCACTGTAGAGTTACCGCATAACCCTCTCCACGAGAAGTACCAAGAAATGAGCTGTTATCCTGCAGCGCCACCCGCCGAACTGTATGCAGGGAATGTAGCCGTAGAGATGGCATGTAGGGATCCAGCGGAATTAAAAATCGGACAGAAGACAACACCGCAAGAAGAGCGACCCTATGGCCTTGACGATCGAAAAGTCGTTTTGCAGCCGTAGAAGAGCGAAAAGACATCGTAATCACATCGCCTGACACTCACCAACGACTACACCACGTTGCTATTAATGAGGAAATTCAAGACACAGAATGACTATGATGAAACAAATGCATTTCGTTTACACGCGCAGAATGAAATTGATGAGACCCTAGAATACACGCCGTCAAATGGATCGCAAGTGCATCTCAACCGATGCCATTATTTACCACCTCGCTTCCCAACTTCGAAGCCCTCGTTACCCTTCCGTTCGAATAATACATGGAGACGTAAGACATGCCGCGCATGTTGGTGTTGCGCGTCATATGTGTAGATTGCTGAACGACTTTGCGTATCGATGCCGTTACATGATTGCTGCAGGTAGGTATTGTCATATCTGCAATGGAGGCTGCGTAATCGTCTAGCACTTGGCGTCACTGGCCTTGGAGTTCATGAGCAGGGCGACAATGAGTCCGTAAAGACCTGGTGTATGTCAGTATAAGCCTTCATCGCGATCGGCGAGTAACGTACCCAAGACTTCGGCGAAAATGAGAATCAAAATCATTCCGACGAACAACCTAGGCTGCTGAGCGGTTCCTCGTACACCGGCGTCACCAACAATGCCGATAGCGAAACCAGCAGCCATACCCGACAGGCCGACGGCGAGACCAGCACCAAGCTGGATGAAGTTGGCAAAGAGCGAAGACTCCTGTGTCAAACCGTTGGAGATCAACACGGACACGACGAGACCGTAGATACCAATAATACCCGCCATGACAACGGGAATAATGTCTGAAGCATGTTAATTATGTTACGACATTACGGAGTCCATTGGTCTAGGCGTACTCTTGACAATCAGGTCAGGGCGGAGGACACCCATGGCCGAGACACCAACACCGGCCTTAGCGGTTCCGTAGGCAGCGCCGAAACCTGTAGATGGGTATACCAAGTCAGTACTTGTTTCACATGCAGTTCGCAAAGAGATAATACGTACACGCGAACACGATAGCTGACGTGCAGCCCATCGCGCCGAAGAAAGGCTATTTGCTCATTAGCCTAGTTCTTTGGGTAAACATGGCGCAGTCTGTCGCGTCGACAATGTTGATATCGAGATGCAAGCTGAAGCGACAGGAAGCAAGTAGTCAGACAACAGCCAACATGCTAAAGACTATGCTATGCAATGTTGATGGTTGTTCGAGCTACGTGATGGAAGGAGGTCGTCGCGGTGCCATCGCGTCGGGAGGCGAAGCGGAGGTTGGTTCGAGGACTTACAGCATAGACGGGGCTGTATTCATCGTGTTAGCTAGTGTTCGTGTTGTACGCCAATAAGGAAGCTTCTCCGATGCTCAGTCGACAGTCGCGAGCCCAGCTTATCTCCAAGAGGCAAGCTGGAGCTGCCTGCATGTGAGACAAGGGAGCTCCGTGTTCACTCACCAAAGTTCGGAGACCATCTTTGCGGCGGTGTATGTAATCGACGAGTCGTCTAAAAGGGTGTCGAGATCTTTATTGAGATGGACGGGAGTCGTGGATGCGGCGACGGGAGGCGGTTGTGATGTCGAGGAGTGGTGACGATGGTTGGCGAAGAGCTGGACGTCGCTCGCCTCGACACTATACCCATCCGGTCACTAGCCTGCGCCATCACGTGTGCCAAGACCGATAATCTTGGTAGCTATGAACTTTTCGGTTTCTCCATTCTAAATTTCTAAACTACCACCTCTCCACTACAATCCGGGCGAGCAAGCAGTGTAAGTCGCATACCTACAGTCTCTCCGATCTACTGTCGGCGCATACCTACAGTCTAATCCTTCACACTCTTGTCGCATCTTAGACTCTCGTCGCATTACTCACATCTCATAGGAATCCTCCTTCGGACGAGCTTCAGCAGTGAACCCTACCATCACCACACCTCTACTACCATGGCCGAAGACAACAGCGCCGCATGGCCCCAGGCCGACCAGGCTCTCTCTCAGGAGATCCTCGACCTTGTGCAGCAGGCTGTGAGTTCTCTAATCCCAACAGAGACGTTTCGAGACATGTACTGACTTGGTGCCAGACCCACTACAGGCAGTTGAAGAAGGGAGCCAACGAGGCCACCAAGACTCTCAACCGTGGTATCAGCGAGTTGATCATCCTCGCGGCCGACACCTCCCCTCTCGCCATCCTTTTGCACTTGCCCCTCCTTTGCGAGGACAAGAACGTCCCGTACGTCTACGTCCCATCCAAGATGGCTCTCGGCCGCGCTTGTGGTGTCGCCAGGCCCGTTATCGCTGCCAGCATCACGACCAACGAAGCTTCCGATCTCATGGGACAGATCCGCACCCTCAAGGATAAGGTCGAGCGCCTCCAGATCTAAGCCAACAGGGCTGCTACCGGTACAAGGGATTGCAAGAGGTAGAGACTTGTTTCGCAATACTGGAAGGTTTACGTAGCGACAAGATGTCAGAGACCTGGGATGAAATACGCCCATTGTCTCTGTACGTAGACCGAGAATGAAATGCCGAGCGCAAGTCGGCATCGACTCTGCCAAAACTGAACTTCTAGCCTGCATGCTGTCTTGATCTTGTGTAATGCGCGATTATTCTAGTGTTAACAGATACAGAAATTTGCTGGCGCATGATTCAGTTGCAAGTAGAGCGCATTCATCTTCTCTCCAATGCAGCGCTAGGCTAAAAGCCTCAAGTATAGAATCTGTACGAACTCTACACAGATGCTTGTACAAGATGGATGTGACTGCGTAGGCCAAACGCAGCGCTACGTTTCTAAGCCTCTGCCTCGGCCGTTTTTATGCGATGCTCTCAGCAATATTACGTCACGTCTGTCGGGGGCTCGGTACCCTGACTCTGTACTCCGAATCTTTCGAGCTGTGATTGCTATGTGATTTGAGTTACGCAGGCCGGACTGTGTAGCCACTTATGTCTTCGACCTAGCCCAGTGCGTTAATGCTATTCAGTTCAGAGCAAAACCACGTGGGCCATTTCAAGCTAGCCGGCGGGTACCTTACATCCGCTCGCGCCAGCATCGGGCATCCCAAGCGAATCTGTCAATTAAAAGAACATCGAAAGACTCACAGATTATTGTTCTCATCACGTAACGCGGAAAAACAGCGAAACTCAACCTAATGTTTTACTATTGTCATTCAATGACAAAGCACGCCTATAGAATTCCAAAAAGCCATCAAAGGAAACACGCCGAAGCTGTTACAGATCAAAATAATAGAAAGCTACTGTCCGTCGATAGCCCATCACTCGCCAAGCTGCAGGTGGAATTGCATGACTTTTGCCGTCAGTGTTGCGTCTACATGCCCATATACGCCAGTTAAATAGCTGTAGTGATAGCCGGTATGACAACTGTAGTCATGGCAGAAGGACTGATAGATCTGGCAACCACCGCTTGACTCTGCGCCGGCGCAATTCCTCCAATGTCGTTGTTCTTGCATGACGTGGCAGAGCACTTGTGATAGATGTTCATGGCATTCGCATTGCCGCAGATCTCGTTGGCATTGCCCACATAAGGCTTGGAGCAGGAGCCCATGATACCATCCTTGGGTGCGTACTTGGGATTGAGGTTGTTGTTGCAGAAACATTCGTTGCCATTTTCAGGCGCTGCGTAGGCGAAGCCACGATTATTGCAGTAGTCGACGCAAATCTCCACCGTCATGTAGTCATTGTACGTCCACGAACCATTCATGGCTCTATCGCTCACGTTGTCCGTGCCACATCCAAGATACTCCCATTTCTGGATCGCAGTCAGGTCGATGTAGTTGGTAGAGCCGCCGGAACCAAGTGTTGGTGAAGTTCCAGAGCAGGTTCCTGATGTGACGCGCTCTAGACCATAGGTGACGGGGTTGCAGCCAGGGAGTGCGGCAAGCTTTCCACTCGTTGACTCGCTGACAGATGTTGGTAGCTTGCAGTCATTGCATTCTTGGTCAGTGAACATAGTGACCGCGGCGCAATCCTCAACCCGACCTGAGTCGTCCGTGCAGGTATCAATCGCCTCCTGGAGTACGTCGACGTCCCAGCCGTTGAAGAAGTCACCGTGGAATCCGAAGCCAGTTGCATCTCCTTGGGCGAAGACAAATGGATTCTGTCCATCAACCCATTGATCGCTGAACAGGGCCGTATCATAGAGAAGCTCGAAGAAGATCGACACCGTGTGGACAGGATGAGAAGACGGACAGTTGCCACCGTTGTATACGTTGCCGTCTGGGTAGCTCATATGACTCTTGTGGTCCACAGAATCGAGGTTGACTCCATCCCAACACTGGGGAAAGTAAACCTGGGCTCGCAGTCCGCCTGGACATGGAATATCAGGAAAACCGTTAGTTTCAGGTTTGTTCGCACCAAGACAGTTGAATGAGATGCCCTGAGCGGCAAGACTACCATCATAGGTGCGGGTGAACGGGTCACCAGCGACCATGCGGAAGCCTTGTGGAAATGCATGCAGTTTCTCTGTCTGATTGTCTCCACGACGTTGGAGATAGTAAACGGTCATGCCGCCGTTGGTGTCGCTTGGGTCTAAATACAGGCGTACGAACTTAGTATGTTTCTCACATGTAGCTTGTGCAGGAACATTTACTGCCCATGACAGGAACTGGAGCGAAGCCAGATCCATCTTTGTATTTGACATAAAGTTGAGGTGTCCAGTAGTTAGACATATCCTCCTTGATTGTGCATGATGAGCACTTCGAAGCTTGGGTGTCTGCGTAAGTCATAGAGGCTTTGAAACCTGCGCCACCGGAGATTGTATGGACGTGACCAGAAACGGCCCCGGGACTGACGATAGGATCAAGTCGCTCTCGGACATTTCTTCCGGGGCAAGACATGCGAAAAAACGCATCCGAACAAGCAGCAAGGCCAAGGGTAAGAAGAACATTGTTGGTGAACATATCGATGAGATGCTAGCAAGGTAGCTTGAGGCAATGAGAGTGAAGTGCTGATGTTGAGTTGAGAGAATCCATATAGGCACCTTTATACATACTCAGAGACAGACAATTTGTGATTGTGAGTACTGAGCTTGTGTGACAGATGTAAGAACTGTAAAGCGTGGGACGCTAGGAAGATGATGATGGTAATGTCTTTGTTAAGCAGTAGTTTCGAAGGTTTAGGTTAAGGTATTCAGCCCAGATCCACAATAAGATGTATCAAAGTGAAGGAGTTGATCCTAGTCCGTGGCGTCTTGGGCTGCTTGCTCACTCTCGATCATCGTGCGGGATATGTCTTTGGCTGCTACCGCAACAGCCCCACATCATATTTCCGCTTAATCTTACGTTCGAGGGAGGAGACCAGATGACAGTTCACCTCGTAGCTCTAATGATGGCAGCAAGGCTCGGTACTTATACACGCGCTTTACATGAACGTATATCACCTCGCCAATGTGAAGGAAGTCATATTTGCGCGACATCGTCATCGTCATCGAGACATGATATGCAACTGTTCCGAGTAGTAATATCGAGTAGCGCAGATTGCTGGATGCGATAGTGGCATACATGAGGATGTGGACCGTCCGAACCCGCTCTTGCGGAAGGCGCACTTTACCATGACGCCAAGACGAAATCGCAAGCCGCATTCGATAGCGACCAACGATTGCCCGGCGTGTTGGCATTTCTCAGAACCGTTTTGATGTTGTCGATTATCAAGTGGTGATTCCCAAAATTGTAAAAGCAGTAGAACGCAACCGCCGCCTGTAGTTGACGATGGCCGTTAGCGTTGTCGCTAGCCGAAATCGTCGGAGCCGCGTTGAGCGAGCGATTGCGGATGCGGCACGTGGGCCTTCGTACCTCTGCCCACGGTCTCCGCAGGACGAACCTCCTGCGAACTCCTGAACAAAACACAAATGATTCTCTTCATCCGCCCCTACCGCATACGCTTCCATGTGATGAAGCTCCGATATCGACTGAAATCCTTCAACGACTAGAAATACCGATAGGTCCGGTGTCGCAGTTTCCACACCCTATGGTCAGCGCCTTACCCACCTCTGTTTAACGACTGGGTCTCAGGAAGTATGAAAGTAGCACAACTTCTCCGTCAGCAGCCACCGACCGAATTATCGCGTTGATAGTGCTCAGTACCACAGTGCAAGTGGTGTTGATGAGGAGGCGAGACAAAGGGGCATCTCCACTATGTGGCGCATGGTACAACTCCTACGACAACTCCAACATGCATATCGTCTTCCGAATACAGAATATGGGGCTCGATCCATAGGGATTGGGCTTTTACTTTCCCATGACTTGTTTCGAGGGCTTCTAACGCGATGTGGTCGCTGGACCGAGCCGGATCTGCAAGTACCATGGTACGACTCTACCCACGATCATCTTAACAAAATCGCCCGGACAATGAGGCAATTGCAAGGAAGATCGCCATGTCTTCTCTGGATGGACTATATCGCATAAGGTATCTTGTGTGATATTCACCAACAGGAACAAAAACGAGGGAGGTACCGCTGCCAGTTTTGCCAAGTCAGGCGACACCACGACTGCAAACGTTGTCAAAGTGGGGACACTGCTCTGGAAGGCTACCGTTACTATGTATTACTCCAGTGTATATCCTGCATGCAGGAGGTCATATTCCCGGAACTTACAAGAACACCTGCCCTCAGTCATCCCCCTCGTCTGAGGCATCGGTATTGACCTGTATTGTCGAGCGACTGGTAGATACATCCGGCGATTGCATGTGGTTTCCAGCTTCAGATCCTAACATACGCTTTTGGTATGGTAATTGCGGCCCGCTGCCACCTTGGTCCGCAACGCTTGGCAACGCTGACGACGAGGCTGAACGTACGACGGCCCTCGACGGTTGGCCATGTGATCTACCCGGTATCTGGGAAACGCTATACCCACTTGGGTATTACCTGCGAGAAACGCAATCAACACGTGCTCCGGGAATACAAAGTGGAGTCGATATGAGTTGATACGGAGCATACACATCCCGTTTAACTAGGTTAGTGTCCACCCCCTAACATCGCGGGGGCTAGTAGCCACGAGATCTGACATTCCAAATTTTCTTCAGGTAGGCTGATAGTACCGTAGATCGTCTGATTACACGTCACCATCTTCCTACACAACACTTGCTGAGACTGTACAAACTGTGTTTGGCTGCTGTTGCTGACAATCCCTAGCGATAAGTGGAGGCAACGGTTATCGTCTTTCCTGCGAAGTATGGTCGAGCTACGCCATAACTCAAGTGCTTGCACTGAACAACGACGCTACGCTGCTAAGTCCAACTTCTGCAGCCCACTCCTATTCTTCGATCGTGGATCGGTACCTCATGGGATAGCGTTACAATATGGTACAGTTTTCTACCAACGTTGAAGGTGTCAGACGACTATTGAATACTGTACTACCTCAACTTTGATCGCAGTCTATACTTCGAAGCTTCGGACAGCTGGAATCTTCTGCCAAGCCAGCAAACACATTGAGTCAACTAAATGTAAGAGATGGATGACATCAAGCCTGTGTTTGGGCATCGATTTGCGCCAGTGGTTATTCTCATGCGAACCACCGCGAGATGAATTCTCCCTATCGGTCCGTTTTGCAACCCCGATTATAATTGTAGTGTTGGCTTCTTGGTTACAAGCAGCCGAACACCACCAATACCAACACTATGGTTAAGATCGATATCCCTAGAAAGTCGCGCCGTTGGTTTGTATCTGGACGACTTCTACCAAGCTCTTCAATGGCTTTGCCCTATGCCAAGCTAAGTGGATCCGTGAAACGACAGGCTCCCCAGGCTCGAACTTGCGTTCTGTTCAACCTTGGTAACAGCACGCTTGGTCAGCCAATATGCAGACGTACCCAACTAGCATTCCATGCCAACAAGACAGCTTATCTGCGAAAGCCACCAATGAGCTGCTATTGTGACTGGCGAATCACAGAGTAGTGCAATCTGGTAATTGTAGCAGCTGAAACGAACTAGCACTTGCGGTCCCAACGTCGACATCGACAGCAATCAGCCACCACACTTGCATGCTCCAGACTCTAATTATCACGTCGTCCAAGTGGTGTAAGCTCACCGCAACTTCCACCATGAGCCACCGCAACTTCCATGAGTGGCTGGCACTACGCAGAGTGTAAGGTCTACTCTTACCAGGAGAGCCTGTAGAGCTAACGGGGGGTTGGATTGTGTTCATCTGCAGATGACGGGCTGAAAAACTGCTTGCCTTTGATCGTGCTGAGGCTAAGCGTGAGGGCCCTCGGAGGGAGGGGGTAAAAACCCCTAGATTCGGAATGCTGTCTCACGATATGATGAACTTCCGAATTTTCTGAGTTACGTAGTATCGGCCGCCGCGGCAGTATCGGCTTTCGTACCATCGGCTTCCTCACCACTACATCGCAACCGTCAATTCACTCCCGAAAGGGGCATCGAACGGCGGCATCTGTGACAGGCAACCCACGTGTACCCCGCGGATCGAGGTCGCTTACACCTAGTTCTAGAACTAAAAAGGGCTGACAGTCTATCTTGAGGCCCAAGTGGCGATTACCAACCCACATGGCCAGTGCACATGGGCAATTCTTCACATGCGCCAATATAGACGTGACATGCGCGGGCACGTCAGATGTCAGAAATGCCAGATCCGCGGGAGACGGACCTCAACTAACCTGCTAGTCTGAGAATGGTTGATTGGCCAAGGGTGTTCGACCCGGCGCATGTCTTTGGTACACTTACAATACACTAAGCCTCATCTCGTCTCTTTCAGCCTGGGTATCACGGATCCACCATGCTCCACCACGTTTATACTCTCACCCGCCCACGTCCAACGGCTCAGACGGCGCGTGAGGCCAATTTAAGTACTAAAGAAGGGTACGGGTGCTAAACGCGCTTGTGTGACTTCCACCAGTATGCTGCTCGCATAATCTCTCTAGCACGAACGACGCATACCAATGTGACGGGCCTGGTCATCCTGGGTAATACGCCAAGGACGAAGACTAACACAGCAACATTTCGGGGTGACCGACGAAAGAGGGGACATGATACGATAATCACACAAAGAGACGCAGGGACTCATTGTCTGAGGAAGGTTCGGCGTGTAAGGAGGGGAGCAAAGCTGAGAGTTTCGCGACAAGAACCTAAGCGAAGCGAGCTCTGTCTGTCATCGATGATGGCCTGATCACCAAGAAGGAAGACAAGCTGAGACGTTTGTTGGCATCTGGCATCAAGGCGGAGATTTAGCCACAGGCCACGAGTACGTTGAGTCCAGCTCGGTACCAACGACATGCCACTCGCCCACTGCAGACGCCCTGTGTAGGAAGAACGTCTGGACCGCTGTTGTGTGTCGCCCATCGAAACACCTTTGCGTTGTAAAGGGTGTTGCGTTTCCTTTTGGAAAAGGCGCTGAGGAGGCTGAGATGCAGTATCACGGTGAAGAGACAGCTCTCGACGCTCTACGCCATCTACGAGCCGACACAGCATAAACGCACGTGGTAAAAGTCCAGTCGAGACACTCTCGCACTGACACCGCGCATGTTATTCCCGTTTTCTGCTGTCTCTTGCTCTCTCCATTCGACGATATCACGCCAAGACACGAAAAAGCAATCCCTAGCCACCTGCCGCCACTTTGCGCCTCTACCAGACTATTAGCTCGCAAAAAAGCAGCTTGTTAGTCGCCCCGAGGGGGAAGTAGGGTCTTGAACCTTGTTTCCCTGTCGTCACATCTTTTCTGAGGTACCGAGCAGGCATAGTCTGGTTTCCGCGGAAGCAGACACCCTGAACCTGGCTAACGTTTGCGGTGTAGGGCCAATCCCAATATGGACGCATTGCTTTGTTGAACCACGGTGGAGTACTGCTCTTGATCGACGTGGGCGATCGGCGGTGCTTTTCTCATCGTTCGCTGATTGTGACTATCCACTATTCTTTTGGAGGGGGTGAGTTTAACCCCTTGATTGGTGTTGGGCGAGCGTAGGGGTGGGATGTATATATGGAGGGTATGTCTCCTTGTATAGAGTCACTATCCAACCATCAATTCCATCAGCTGCATCAGCTTATCCAATCGAACATCTTTTATACAAAATACATCTTACTTGGTATTACAGACCGATCTTACCACACATCGCTTCGTCACTACAGCGGCAAGGCATATCACAACCACTGGGATACCATATGCTCCTGAGTCAATCACAACTACAACCACAAATCAACAATATGCCATCAAAAGGCTGGACAACACTCCCACCCTGCCCAGGCCCACCACCAAACCGGCCCCTCCCTCCACTACCTTCAAAGTCATAACCACATCGAGTGGAGGAGTGAAAACGACGTCGACGCCATCAGTCGAGTCGAGCAGGAGGAAAGCAGAATACCCACACGTGTACGATACGATACTTTGCCGCGACTTCAGCTTGGAAGGAATCGTAGGAGACAGAGGACTTGATTCAATTCTTTGGTGACGGAGAGTGACTTGCTAGAGTTTAACTCATTGTACGAGATTTGGTTTGAAAGGGCTTCATTCAATTCTTGGAGAGTGAAGATCGACTTGCTAGAGTCTGGCCTATTATGAGAGATGTATCTGAAAGGGCTTGGGGCGAATTACGCCTATTGCGAGGCATGGAACAATGGTTTCGTAGCCGAATTGGGCGAAACAATGACAGAGTTCTCTTGATGCAATATGCATGGTCATATGTCGTGATCAATCAGCCCCGATATGCATGAAGTGACTACCACGGCTACCTACGTCCATACACCAACCTCTAGTGTAGACGGATACGATCTGCAGCGTTAGTACCCTCTTGGATTTGACGTATTGCTTAGTATCGCACGACTTGGGTAATGTTAACCGACGGAAGCATGCAGCCTACGATAAAGTGACTTGAAACAATCTTCATCCGAGGATGTTGTTATTATCGACTACAAAACCAGGCTTTTACTTTCCTCCTGGGAAGACAAGGCCATTGTCGTGCCTGACCTTCTGCATGATCGCCAAAGTATCCCTGCTATGCTGCTCCAGTCTCCCTAGCGCAGCCTCGTCCTTATCTTCAATGCATCTCGCAAACTCTCTTGCCTCTTCAATCAAGTTCAGCTTCTCAGGCGTCTTGACTCCTTGTACTTCTTCCCGTGACTTCTTCTTAGGATCCCAGAAAGTGATCTTGTCGATGTCGGTGATGGTTGGTACAATCAAGGTGCCCTTCTCGCCATAGATCTCAGATGGTGCATCAGAGTTGTAGATCTTGGAATGGCAGAGGTGTACAGTAAAGTTGGGGTAGTGGAGAATCAAGCGACCGGCACCGTCAGCTCCCGTTGCGATCTTGACAGGGTAGTACTGCGAAGAGGTGGGTGCGCCAAAGAGATCGACGGCTGCAGCCACACAGTATACCCCCAAGTCGACGAGAGCGCCACCGCCCATCTCGAGGTTGAAGATGTTTGGTACTTCGCCTTGCAGGACCTTCTCGTAGCGTGAAGAGTACTGGGCGAAGGTGATAGAGGCGCCATACAGGGGACCAAGGTCGGAGATCTTTTCCTTGAGGAGTTTGAAATTTGCTTCTTGGATGTGGCGGAACGCCTCGACAAGAACGACCTTCTTCTGTTTGGCTAGCTTGAACAGATCATCCAACTCCTCGACTGTGCTGCATGAGGGCTTCTCCAAGATGACATTCTTGCCTGCATTGAGAAACAGTTTGGCTTGCTCGTAGTGTAGGATGTTCGGGCTGGCGATATAGATTGTGTCAATCTTGTCTTGTGCTAGGGCATTGAGGTCGGTGTATGTGGTGATTTGCTTGCCCTCGTACTTGGATGCAAACTCTTTGGCAGTCTCTTCCTTTCGTGAGTAGACTGCGGACAGGTTGTATTTCCCAGTCGCGTGTGCGGCTTCAACAAAAGAATGGGTGATCCAGTTGGTTCCGATGATCGCGAGGTTAATCATATTGGCGGTGTTATTGTTCCGGTGGTTAAAGTGATTGAGTGCGAATGGAGAAGACGAGACGCCTGATATATATGTCGTTCGCGTCGAGGGGCAGTCGCGTTCAACCCCACTAGGAAGCTTCAAGCTCCAGGTCTTAGTGTGATGTCATTGGCCGACTGTTCGGACTTCCCAAACCGGCAGTAGTAGGCAAGACTAGACACTAGTCTCTCGTGTTTCTGTAGGCAATGGGTCAACGATAGAGAGCGTGATTTTTCCAGATCAATCGGTATTGTATTGCAGGTTACTAAATGCAGGTCAGACTGTAAGACAGCCTCAAAACTAAAGCTCCTGAAGGAGGGTATCATGCTGCGACGACGTGTCGTGTCGTATCGTTGAAATGTATCATACCATATGCGTAAAACAAAAGCGCATCCTCGTTCCATCCATGAACGCTGGTCCGAGCCGCGTTGGGTGACGATCATAATGTGAAAACAAAAAAGTGCAAGACCAACCATTCGCCAAAAACAAACCCCAAAACTCCGTACGCTCAAAGCCGCGCACTCGAAAGATGCAGTCACGCTGACAGATCAGTGTTGAGAATCAATCTTCCCAGATGGTCTCCAGATCCAGGTCGCCGCGTCGTTCCGCTCCGCAGACACTCCACCTCTTCCTCGAGTCTCGCTTGCCGAAACCTAGACTGCGCCCACGGCCTTCTGGCACATCTAAGCTGGACCTTCTGGCCTCTCCACCATCCTCACGATCAGCGGCAGCCTTCAGGCGCCGTATGCGGTCGGCCTCTATAGCCTCTTCTTCTGCGTCTGGACTGTCTTCGATAGTCTCGAGGGAAGAAATGGAAGGACTGCGGGAGCGCATCGAGGTTGGTGTAGAGGGTACAGACGATGAAGCATGTGACATGGGGTAGTTCTCGTTGAACCTGGATGGTGCGAGGAGCGGCGAGGAGGCAGTTGATGTTGGAGTGCTGACCGACGGGGTACTGGTAGGCGGTGCGCCGAAGGACACCGAGACTTGATAGAGCGGTGAAGCTGGTCGACGCCGCCTTGAGAGCGAGCCTGTGCTGCTGTACAGACTCGACACGGTGGTGCCAACGCGTGGCGTGAGTTCCAGCTCGGCATCTTCTGAGATATCGCACACACTCGGAGCGCCCTCGAAGGAGCCGATAGAGGCCGGACGGATACCCGAGCCGTACCGCTCTGGGGCCCCTACTGTATGCGGCCGTGGCTCCAGTGCTCGCGGGCTGCGGGTCCGCTTGGGCGAGCGTAGAGGAGAAGCCGGGAGGGCAAGCTCCATCGGGGTAGGCGAGAGCCTGAGGTTGCCAGACGGTTGCATGACAGTAGGCAACGAATGGGCCCGTGTCATGGGCGGCGCGCTCGGCAACGCTGACCCGCTCTGGGAGCGAAGATGAGAGCGAGAGTAGGGCGAGCGATTCCGTGGCCGAGTGGTGAGGGAGGTGAGAGTGTCGGGCTGGGGGTCCGTCTGCGAGCGTGGTGTAGAGGGCCTGCGCGAAGTCATGCTGTCGTCGGAGGTGTTGCTAAGCTGGCGGGCGAGGGTGCTGCTTTCTCCCATGGTGTCGGCAGAGGGCTGGCTTGAGCTCGAGCTTGAGCTTGAGCGTGGTGTGTCTTGTATAGGCGCTTTGGTAGGAGTCGGTGTCTTGTTCGGGCCTTGAGGCGGTGTCGGGCTCACAGTGGACATGGACTTTAGGCGTTGGACAAGATCGTCGTGATGCAGATCTTCATTCACATCAGGCGGCGAGGAAGGATTTGCGGCAGTCATGACGGCGGTCTGCGAGTATACATAGTCTGCGCTCAAGACTATGGACTGGAGAGGCCGAGGTGGAGCTAAGGAGCGCAGGGGGATAGCGCGGTGCTCGTGTTGTTCTGGGCGCTGAACGCACGATGGACCTTGCAGCGTTTCAGCCGCCGGAAACTCACCTTTTGCGCGCCGTGACTGGCCAGCGGCGGTCAAACTGCTCAGCGACAGGTATGAGCGACAGACTGCGTGCGAGATGCGGCGTGTTGGAGCTGCGAGAGTCGGAGCGGTGCATGAGAAAGCTCACGATGCTGCTGTTCTGCGACTCGAGAGGGAGGGGCCGCGACGTTGGTACCTGCCGCCGAGATTGCCGCTATCGAACATCTGGGGCAGTCGCGACCGCTCGCGATAACAAGGCCACAGCGAAGCCGCCACTCATGCAAACACTACGCACCATGTCAAACAATACTTTGTTTGCTACATAGCCGGGCATTTGACATGTCCCTACACATTAAACTGTCATCACCATCCCCGGCACATTCGGTCGCCTCCCAGTCTCCAGCCGCCATGATCCCTGATCAACACCGGACAAGACTCTAACGAGACCCTGAAATTGGGTGCAGCTGACTAGCGCCCCGTTCCACCGCCGAATGTCGACAGGCACAGGCCAATCACGCCTCTACTCTCGCAGATTAGGACGCTATCGTGTGCCGAATTGGGTGCGAGCTGCTAGATGTGGATGCCTCAGGCTTCATTTCGCGACGGCGTGGCTATTTATGCCTCTTCCCCACATAATTTATCGCCCTTGTCCGTGTATTGCTTGCATTAACTTTACCACCATCATCTATGCCGCTCAAGGGTCGCTCACAATCGATAGTCAAAGTCTGACTGCGGTACTGACTAGACGCCTCTTAGTCAATTTCGGTTGCGCACTCGTGAGAACCAAGGTTGGAACGACTAGGGCAAGGCAGGCTATGTATATCTCATCATTGCGATCAGCGGAGCACTGTGTACTCACTTCCCCATGGCCGTAACGTCGTCGGAACCTGTTTCTTAGGTAGCCCCGTCACAGACCTCGTTGCAACAACATCTTCTCATGGCAGATCTTAGCCATCCGCACCCCTCTATTTGGTAACGACTCAAATTTCACTACAAGCTTCGCAAGGCATCCCATATATAGCCAACTCAATCAGCTCATCTGGATCATGCTAAAAACGACAAAGGACAACAAAGCTGGTAATTACCAGAAACGAGACAGCGGAACCATCATTGGTTAATTGCTATATCAAGAGACGGGAGTGTTTTTGTTCCATAGTTGCTAGTCGCTATCCGAAGCCCAACTCCACTTGAATACTTGGAAACAGATGTGTGTGTGGGCGTCATACCTTGTGAACATTCTGGAATCGACCAACTTCTTCAAAAGTTCCCCAAGGCCACAAAAGTTTCCACTCGTTCGATTACGCAACGCCCCAACACCTGGGTTGCCACATGGTCATCGTAGCAAGGATGGGCAAGGTCCTAGGAGAGACGCGCTCCTGGACACAGGAGCTCATGGAAGGGTAGTGAGCCAATCGACATCTTTGCAGTCTGCGGTGATGACCAGTACTAACATTAAACTCTACTCTACTTCACAAGCGACTATCATCTGGTATAGAAGTAGGATAACCACTAATAATAATACATACGACCATAGGACACTGAAAATTAGGCTTCCCGTCCGCTCAGCCATATACAAGCAGTGTACCGGCGGATTAGTAGTTAGGTGGGTGACCACTAGCGAATCCCCGCTGTTGTATGTTTTTGTACTTTTTGTTGCATCTTACGAGCTCGGTGCTAGGCAGGAGCGGTAGAAGGGCAAGAATGTATGGTGGTGGTTTTTCTTTGTTGCGAGGGACGAGATGACGTTTCCGCAAATCAGGTGCTCGCCTTAGCTACCTTGTCCTAGCAATTATTCTACCAGCTATTTCACACAAAACTAAAAACGGACCTCTGTCTCTATTACTAATAAGCTGCAATAGTAAGCCCTTACCTCCTCGCTTCCTTATACAGCGCAACCTCCGTGCCCTCGTCTCCTCTATCGTTTGCTTTACTTTTATTTCCATCTGAACCTTTACAAATGCCTGGCCTTAATCAGATCTGCAGCCTTCTCACCAATCGCGTACGCAGTTGTCTGTGTATGAGTTCCGGGTATCAAAGGGATGATGCTAGTATCAGCGATGCTGAGACCCCGCGTTCCATACACTCTCAGCTGACCGTCTACCACACCCCCTAGCTCGCGAGGCATCATAGCAGCAGTGCCAACACTATGTCCATTTGACGCCATGAGCTTATCCTGATTAAGTAGCCAGTCCTCCCAGCCCGCGTCGTCTGTAACCGCACCAGGAATCGGATCTTGCTCGACGATGTCAAGGTCTTTGAAAGCCTTCGATTCAAGAAAGTGCTTTCGAATGTATGTTTGCATGCGAACGTGCATCTTCTTATCGATAGGGTTGGACCAGAGGCGGTAGTCGAAGATTGGATCGCCGAGTGGATCGACGGGGTTGATCTTGACGTAGCCGCGAGAGAAAGGCTTGAGCAAAATGCACATGCCCCAGCCCTTACCAGAAATAGGATGTTCAAGCCAAGCATTGGTCTTGGACTTGAAGGACGCAAGTAGAATCTCCTTTTGTTTCTGGTAGCCCAAAACCAGTTCCTTTGGGGTGTCGTTGGGGAGGAAGTCCTCAGGCTTCTGGTTGGCAATCTCCTCGATCATCGCGTCGAATGCTTCGCCAACAAAGGTTGCAGGAGGTAGAAAGGCGCCACTGCTTGTGACCCAAGCTGTATACGGACCTCCGTTGGTTTGCTTGAAAAGGCTATATACTTCCTCCTTGTACGTGGCGTTTGATCCAATCGTGGTTGGCTTTGGGAACGAAGTGTCGCCAGTTTGGTTGTACAAGCTGAGGGCAAAAGAGTGATCCTGCAGGTTCCATCCTACACCGGGAAGATCGATCAGAGTTTTGACTTTGGCGGTATTCAGAACATTTTTCGGGCCAATGCCAGAGTACTGGAGAAGCAGTGGAGTGCGGGTAGCAGATGCGGAAAGAATGATCTCACGTTTTGCTTTGACTGTGAATACCGTCGAGCTGTACCGATCTCTAACCTCGACGCTGACCGCATGCTTCCTTTCGTCCTTCTCGGAGCCGGAGAAGTTCACCTTTGTAACACGATGCAGAGTCAATAAATGGTAATTCTTTCGCGGTTGAACTTTGATGTAGTGACTCAGACCAGCGAAGCTTCGGTTGTATTGCCTCGCGGGGTCCATGGACGTTGGAATCCAGAACAACCCATATGCGTGCCCATCCGCGTGTTCTGTCTGAACTGGAACATTCTCCTTCTCGATCCAGGCTTTCCAATGAACTTCCTGGGTGGCATATCGAAAATCGGGGTAAGCACTAACCACGGAACCATTTTCAGCATACGCGGCAGGATTGTACGTGATGCCCCATTCCTTCATGGCTGGTGTTGGTGGTGTAAGAGCAGAACCTTTCTTGAAGTAGGGATAGAGACCCTCCCAGTCCCAGCCACCGTTACCAGGAAATTTGGCCCAATTATTGTAGTCTTCCGCGCTACCACGGTCAAAAAACTGTCCATTGACCGCGGAACCACCGCCTACAACAGCTCCATTGGCGACCGGGAACGTGCGGTTGTTCACGTTGGTTTGTGGCACCGATGTCAGGTTGTACAGGAATTCTGGTGCCGGAGTGTTATATAATGGCATGAAAGAATCGTCTTGGGCAAGGCGACCGTATTCGACCAAGAGTACAGTTTCTGACTTGTTGAGCGGCGATCAGAAACGACAAGAGATCGCTTACGCTTGCCGTCCTCGGAGAGACGATCAGCTACCGTGGTGCCAGCTGTTCCGGCGCCAACTACAATGTAGTCGTATTCTTTGGCCACATCAGTAGCTCCTTGCTTCACCTCAGCGTTGCTCCACGATGGTAGCGCTTGAACAACGGCCACGAAGCTGAGAGCGATCAAAAGAGTGTGTGCCATGTTAGATGTCGAGGAGCTGCACATTGATAACAGAAGAAGCAACATATAGACGAAATAGTTATCTCTAAAAAGATTACTAGTTGCCAGCCGCATATGGCGGTTCCGATGTTGTTATCTAGGTACTACAGGAATTAATCTCGAAGGCTTGGCAGACAACCTTGGAAGGAAGTCTTCGCGCATCCTTCGGAAATGTACCCCGCGGAGCGACACCGCGACTGCGATTGATGCAGGGCGGGCGGATCGCTTCTACTTTCATGCTCCTGGCACGACATTCTTCGGGCGTTCCCAGGACTCACAATCGTTGTCTCTACAGAGTTGCGAAAGACGTGACATAGAAGGCACAAACATATATTTGGTTCCTCGCAGACTGTGTCAAATGGCATGGTTTTGGTATCTCCGTATGCTGCCTTCCAGACGCCGCGTGAGAATATAGCTGTATTGCTACAAGTCTGGATAACCATGCTACTAGCCATGTAAGCTTCTCCACTTCATGAACGCCATTGTGCCCCGTAACAATAACACCACTTATGCCGTCGTATCGTAAGCCAATATCTCAGACCTACCCCATATTATCTTCGCGCTCATTCAGCACTCTTCACCTTCGCAGCCTGCATCTTACCCAGGATGGTCTTGCTCTTCGCTTTGCCCTCGACCTGCTCTGCTCTGCTGAGACCAGCATAGAACGACCGCACCTTGTCGTGTGCAATGACCTTCCTAGGATCGAACCGCAGGATCTGCAAACCAGCCATGCTCGTCGCACGGGATAGCGCAACGTACGCTTGACCCTTTTCGAAGACCTTGCCAAGATCGACGCGCACACGCTCAAGCGTCTGACCTTGTGCTTTGTGGATGGAAAGCGCCCATGCGAGGATAAGCGGGATCTGAGAACGCGATGCTTGCACTTCGCCGTTTGGTAGCTCGATTTTCCAGTCTTCGCGCTTGCATAACAGGTCGCGCGTGGTACCATCTGCGATGGCGAAACGGACTACGGG